CAGAACTAGGATTTTGCCGCTGTTTTGCAGATGGACTTAACCCAGAGTTTAGTTCCATCTGTGGCACAGGCTAATATCAAGGGTGTTGGTTTAGTATTACATTAGCAGAGACAAAATCTGAGTTAAAAGCAACCAAACGGGTAAATTTTCTCTTGGTCTTTAAATGCATTATTTTATAATATAAGGGACAAAAAATCAATGGTTCCTGCATTTCTTTTTCCAAAAAATAAAACCCTAAAAGTAGAGTATTTCAATACATCTCTGTAAAGTACTGTAAGCTGGTTTGTAGCAAAAACTTTATATTGAAGTGTCTTTTTTTTTCATAATTTGACAACAAACATTTAAGTAATTAATTTAAAACATCTAAAATCACTTATCGATATCGCACATTATGGAAATGACGATCCCCATTGTATGTCTTGGCAGTTGCTATGCCAACGTTTGTCCCCACACGTTTGGCTAAGAGGATGTTTTTCCAATTGAATTCAAAACAAAAAGTTTGTAGTTCTCGCTGTGTATATATTGCTCCTTTCCTGTCTCAGTCAAACAAAACACCTCCAAATACTTGCTTCGCTCGTGAACCGTACTCTCTTATCCATGGTCTCTTTGGAAACTTTCCAGTCGGGTTGATTTCATGAGTGCATTTATGCACCAGCAGAAACAACTAAGCTTAGCTTCAACCAACCTCGCTCGGTCTGTTCCACGCGGCAGCGTTTACGCTCTCAGCACAAAAGGAAGCATTATGCGTCATGTTAAAACCGATGGCAGTACCAAGTGTCAACGTTTCCATTATTACGTCAGAAATTTCCATTTAAAAGGAGATCTATGAACGAAAACGCGACGTACAATTGACAACAACAAGAACACTTTTCTATCCGCCATTTTTCTTCTCCCAGAATTCCATTGCAGTCGCAAGCTAATTTCCATTGTTTCTCGGTCCCGCCCTCTCCCCGCCTCCAGACCAGTTAGTCACGTGATCAAAACACACTACTTTCTGGGCGGCCATAACTTGGAGCTGAAAGAACAGTATTATTCCGCTTTTCTACGTTCTTCATCAATAATGGTCGATTACAATTTCAAGCACAAGTTTGTCACGCGCTACGTTTTCTACATTAGTGTACGCATGTTTTTTGCATATCTGGAAAGCAGCATCGTTGCCGTGTTTTGTTTTGCTGTCACTTCTGAAGGATCCTTAAACAATTTAAAACTAACTGCCCTTCGCACTGTGGCGGTTGGCCTTACTTTGAAGGCGAGTTTCAGTTCTTCCATGCACATTATACTTACTAAGCCGACAGAATCACTGCCTGAGGAACTTTCAGAGAAGTAAACGAACCTTCCCGAGGTAATTTTTCTGATTGAATTTTCCTGAGTCCATGGTCTCATCGAGAACTTGGACATCTAAAATTTGAATGAAAAAGGTAGTAAGCGCGGGGTGGACGATGGGAAGAGAGAAAAGTTTCCCGGCCTTCCCATTATCCCTACCGCCCGTTTTTTTTTTTACCCTCTTCTCAGCCTTCCTACGACGCAAAGAGGCCTGGCCGAAGAGAGGGTAACAGGTAAATCAACCACAACCAGTTTATCTGATAAATACTAGAGAACAGATATTCTTGATGTAGTAGGTTATATACAAGTGACATAAATCAAAGTATTCGTAGTACAGGACAAACATTGCTTGTGTTTTAAAAGACCTTTTATATCAAGCCATTTTTTCGGTAAGAATGACGCTGAAAACCTTGCATTGCGTGACCAAGGGCTCTGCGTGGTGGCGCACTTGTTTGCTGAGGAGATAAATACAGAGTCGGATTTGGTTGGAGAAAATTTGGCCACCAAAGGTGACAAACTTTATTTTCAAGATCTGCCAATATATAATAAACTAAATATCTGTTGAGCAAAGGTGGGGGAAAAAACCGCCACCCACTAAGACAAGAATGAGAAACACACTAGGAATTAATTCGGAGGCAGGCGGAAGGGGAGGTGGTGATGGTGAGCGATCGAAAGGGGGCGAGCACATGGAAAAACGCCCCTAAGAATGATATAGTCCAGAACGCCCTAAATTCTCATTGGCTGGAAATAAGATAGGCTTGGAACCTGCTGCCTTGCCTGCAAACCATTATCAAATGCCTTGCCATAAAATCCCATTATGATGTCGTCATAACGGTGTCTTTGTTTTAACTGTACGTTCAACGATTGGTATTTGCAAATGCAGAACGTAGATCCTTACCAATTTTTGCAGTCTATATTGTTTTTATCAACATAAATTGCGAGGCTAAAATAAAGGCTAGTGCGTGAAAGACTATTCGTAAAACTCAGTACAGTTGTTATGAGAATTAAATTGCAAAGTACCTGAGTTAAAAAAGTGGCTCAATAAAGTTTAGTTTCATTATTTTCCTATGATTAGTANTAAGACAAGAATGAGAAACACACTAGGAATTAATTCGGAGGCAGGCGGAAGGGGAGGTGGTGATGGTGAGCGATCGAAAGGGGGCGAGCACATGGAAAAACGCCCCTAAGAATGATATAGTCCAGAACGCCCTAAATTCTCATTGGCTGGAAATAAGATAGGCTTGGAACCTGCTGCCTTGCCTGCAAACCATTATCAAATGCCTTGCCATAAAATCCCATTATGATGTCGTCATAACGGTGTCTTTGTTTTAACTGTACGTTCAACGATTGGTATTTGCAAATGCAGAACGTAGATCCTTACCAATTTTTGCAGTCTATATTGTTTTTATCAACATAAATTGCGAGGCTAAAATAAAGGCTAGTGCGTGAAAGACTATTCGTAAAACTCAGTACAGTTGTTATGAGAATTAAATTGCAAAGTACCTGAGTTAAAAAAGTGGCTCAATAAAGTTTAGTTTCATTATTTTCCTATGATTAGTACATGTTCATTTGAACTTGGATGCCAAGCATTTGGACGAGTATGTACGAGACTTTATAAAATAACTAAGATAGTACGCTCGCTCTGATTGGCCGAGAGGAGTGTTTGCATCAGAGTATGTAAACATGGTTGTGGCATCAAGTCGGCATCAAGATGTTTTGCTTTTCGCGCGCTAATCACGCAAGCACTAATTTGAAAAAGTCTTCAAGTTCAAAACTCGACAAGTTTACTTTATTTACCCATTCCTTCGTCGGCTGAAACTTGCAAAATCGTGACAAAGAAGGTGTGTCAATTTTTTTCGCTTAAGCTGACATTTTAAGCGAGAAAAATCCGTATTTTGGAAAGCATAATTTTGCAAAACAAGAACTGATTACGCGTGCCAGTCGACTTCGTGTATAGGACTTTGCGACTGGTAAGAATTTCTCTTTTAATCAGGACCGTAACAAAGAGTTTGCGTTTTTTCTCGGGAGAGTTATTTTGTAAAAGCAATAGAAAACTTTTTTCCTGTGTTTGCATAGCCAACCTCGTCCCCAGGGCTTTTCCCGCCCCACCCATTTTTTAAGGGAAAAGCCCTGGGGACGAGGTTGTTTGCATAGCCTGATATAAACACTCGAGGGATTGGGAGAATTCTCCCAACCCCACTCGTGTTTATATCAGGCTACGCAAACACGGAAAACGTTTTCTATTGCTTAAGTAGTTGATATATGTTTTTTAGCTAACAATTTGTTATTGAACAGAAACAATCCATCAAATCTGTGTGTTACTTACATCCCTTGTAACAATTATCGAATTGCCACATTCTCATGAAGTCATGTCTCTTATGACACCTGAATTTTCGTGCATTTAGCCAAGTATTCACCGATAGTAACTGAGATAAAAGTTGAAAGCACTCACCAGACGGCTACAAGATTACAACCCATAAAACGGTCATACATCGGCCCATGGACCACACAGGAGAGAGGTAACACACATTTTAAGTAAGGTAAGCTGTTTTTAATTGAAATACTTCCATTTTCACAGGCTACAGAAAAGATAGGTTTCATTACCATACAAATCCATATATTTCTAATGTTACGCTACAATGCCGATACTCATATTTCGAGCTTGGGTAACCTGTGGTCTTCTTGCCAAGAAGTGACCGCATTAGCCTCGCTTTCGCGCTAAAACAAGCACTCGCCCTAGGCCGCCCGGGAATACGAGACTTGCTTATTATTTGGGCGTGGCCCAAATAGAGTAATGGAACGGCTTGTTTTGACGCAAATGTGCAATAGGCACGCAATACGTGCTAACGTAAACAAACAAGTGAACAAGCGAAGAGAGGCGAATGTCTGCCATGCGAACGTCATTCAACACCACCGTATTCTCCTTTATCGTTTTCGCAAAGTAAACCAAAATCCATAAAACGTGTCCTCGGAATCTCACGCAAATTGCAGTTTTTTTAAGTCCTCAACACTCCCAGGCGGAAAAAAGCTCTTCTAGTACCAATTTGAACTTGAATTTGCATCACCATATTGACACCCGCAGAGTTTAAAACAGAATACGCTCCCACGAAAAACCTGAAAACTTAGACAGCACGTGATCAAAACATGTTCGTACGGCGCCAAAGACGTTGTCAATTTCACGACAGAGACTAACTGACAACGTTTCATTGGCCAAAACTGACAGGTTGAAATGTAAAACTACGCGCAGAATTCGTCGCGCTTTAAGGATGGCAGCAATCCAGTGATATCACTTGATCCAAAATTTTTCAAAGCAGCAGCAGTAAGAAGCACTTCGGATAAAATTTGGCGACGGTGTTTCGAGGAACGTATTGTTGAAGTATGTTATCGAGGGTTAAAGTTACTAAAATAACACTGGGTGTTTTCATAATGGGCTGGTCCGCGAACTCAAAGAAAAACAAAGGAAATTGCCAAGACATTCAAAGACCATGGACCTCATAGACGCAATTACAAATAAGAATGTCAGTATACGTGTAAAATCGAGAAGAGTTTGAACAGAAGAATGTGTATCAGGTTTGAGAGTCGCAAGATTTGTGTAGCTGGTAATCAGTGTGACAATAGTGATTTTGATTTTCACAATGCGGAACACAAAGAGTTGCCTGTGATAAAAATCTGTTCCGATGAAGGGAAGAGAAGATTGTCAAGAACTGAAACCAAAAGAGACTCAGGCGTCTTTGGGAACTACTGTGATAGCGGTAACAATTCTTCTTGTTTAGCAGAGTCACTGTTAATGTACTTGTTTTTTGTATTGCGCGTTGTGTTTTTCATGTAATTGTGTATATTGTGACGGGGTACATGTACGATGCTCGGCGTCGGGATTTTGCATTATCAGCAAGTTTTGTGTTAAGAGTGTTTTGATGTCAGTGACTTGACGACAAGAAAAGATAATGAGTCAATTGTACAGGAGGAAAATTGTTTTGTGGAGGAAATAAAAGAAGTTGAATTGAGATCTCGTCATGGGAAATTTATTTATGACAGAACTTACAATCCAGTTGGTTTAAATAAGGTTAGTCATTTTTCTCGACGCGGTCGTGCACCTAGAAGACTTACCGATAAAGAAATTAAAATCTTTGTTAAAGAAAGCACGGATAGTGAGACTTTTTGTATGGAAGGGAATTCTGAAAAATACACCNTGCACCTAGAAGACTTACCGATAAAGAAATTAAAATCTTTGTTAAAGAAAGCACGGATAGTGAGACTTTTTGTATGGAAGGGAATTCTGAAAAATACACCATTGTCGTCTAAAATTCATTGTTACGTTAAAGATGGAAATGGTTTATACTTAAAGCGGAACAGAAGTAACTGTAAGAATGTGAGGTTTTTACTAAGGGCAATTCTAAAATTAGTTCAAAAATAAGGGAAGGTTTATCTGTCATCTAAGCACAAAAGAAAAGGCGATTTAGGTGGGGTGAGGTATCAAAATAGGGTCGGTTTTCAGTGAGTATTTTTCTCTCTGTGCATGCAAATTAATCCATTTTATAGTGCTTACAAGATTTTGATTCACCGGTTTAATTTTGACCAATTTAATCTTTCTGCTGATATCGAGAAGAATCCAGGACCTTCATTTTGTGTAGATGCTACAAATTGTCAAAGACTACAATATGAAATACACTTTATATTATGCTCGAGCAAAATTGAAAGCAGTGAGAGGGAAGCAAGGAAACACCGGTATAGTTCATTTGAGTATTGTGAGATGGAACCTCTTAAAAAGAAAAATTTAGTTACAAGAAGAAAAGGAAACAGGCAGATCGGGGTATAGATTCTTGCATTGTGTTTGTAATTGATTACTTTGTAAGGGATCAGTTCACCTTTTTGGCAAAAGTAAATATTCGTGTCAAAATTTTTTCAGTGTGCAAACAGTAAGTTTGTAAAACATGTTACTTAATACAGACATTTTGTATTAACACCCCAGTGCCACTATTAACAGAGTTTGACTCTATTACCAACATCCAGTAAAAACAACTCCATGTAGAAACCCAGCAACTACCTCACAAACTACACCAATCATCTTAGCAATCAACTACCAATATAAGCCCCCCCTACTACTTCACACGTCCCAACTAACCCCTCAAATATACAATACCACTGCACTACCCACATATCCCCCATACACATAACAAAACTTCACGTACGCTTAGTACAACCACGCCCAAATATACGCTCCCACAGCGTCTTGTTTGTATGATAAATTAGGAGTATCAGTTGCGCACAGTACTACACATCAAACATGTCCAGAACTGATTGGCTTTTAGTTACACTAATGTGCCTGTCTTTTTGCATTTTCCTTGCATCGCTAATGGTACCTATTATTAAGTTCGTCGCGCCCAGTGTGGAGTTTGGCCCGCTTCAACCAACAACGTTGACACTTCAAATTCCTCGAGCTGGGCTGAAAACAGCTGTGCATTTCGAACTCAGTGACGTCGCTCGTCCTGACTCGGCACCGTCACTTGAGACCGTCATTCAACTTTGTCAGGGAAGTGATGGAGTGCGTTTAAGGGGACTGGCCGTGTATTCAAACCTCACAAATGGATGTGAACCGATCCATGATGTACGCAGTAAAATACAAGTCCACAAAATCGCCCTTGTCACAGTTGTGAACTTCGAACCTCCATGTACATTGCAAGACATAGCAGTAAATTCACAGAATGCAGGATACTTCGCGCTCATATTATTTGGAGATAACGTGCAGTTTTTTGGGATCCAATTCACTCAAAAAGTAATGATCCCTGTTATGACGGCGGCGCGGTACCCTGACATACAGCTAGAGAATATACTGATTGAGGCAGACCTAACCGAGACTGTATTAAGTCTACCGTCAGACGTAGACACAGCTGACTTAAGTAAGATGGAAACGTACTTTGAATATCTCTTCTGTTGGGTACTTGTGGGTCCTTCAATTACATTGGTATGGTTAATACGAAAAAGAAAACTTTGTTGGATGTCTGAAAGGCGAGCGAATGAGAACGAGAATGATGCCGAAACTGGACCTCGAATTACGGAAGAAAGCCGTGAAACTGCAGAAACTGAGGTGTTTAATCAACGCCCAGAAGAAACAAGTGAAATTCATGATTACAGTCACGGAGATCAAGAGCAAATTATTCCTCTTACCTCTGCGCAAACTGGCCATACAAGACAACAGCACGGCACAGGATTTGTAGCCAAGATCAAAAAGTATTGTTACAGAGGCTTTGTCATTATCTTTACTTGTATTTTGTATATGATTTTGATCATTGCAGCACTTCCGCTTGGTATATCTATTCCTGGTGGGTTCTCTTTCTTTAGATTCGATGAAGTGCTAACGTTTAAAGTACTAGGGGGCATTGAGAATGGGGGTTGGGCTATATTTATACCCCCAAATGATACTGGTAACTGTTCTTTTTTGGTCAACTTTTCAGATATTCTGTTTTTTCCTTTACAGCTGTAGATTCGCTTGCAGTACAACTTGGGTCATCCCCACCAACTTTTCAAAATTGATTCGAAGCGAGTGGTTTGCGTCAAACATTTACTTGCTGGTTTTAGCTGTGGTAGTACCATATTGTTCTAATTCAGCCTCACCGATGAGATTCACTTATTTTGCAACATATAACACCATTTGCACAGTTAGTAATTTGCTTTTCATAATCACTGTAAACAAACACAAATTTGTCACGCGATATGTTTTCTACATCAGCGTATGTATGATTTGTGCATATATCGAAAGCGATATCGTTGCCGTGTTTTATTACGCACTCAATTCTCAAGGATCCCTAAACAACTTAAAACTAACTGCCCTTCGCACTGTGGCGATTGGACTCACTTTGACAGTGAGTTTTAGTTCTTGCATGCACATCATACGAAAACTTACTAAGCCGACTGAATCGCTGTTTGAGGGACTTTCGGAGCGATAAACAAGACCAAGTTTGAGCGTTTTCATCATTATTTTATAGCTCGGTCACGTTCTATGTTCTATATCTGATCCGTTGTTCGGGGAGCTAGCAGTGAAGCTAAGCTTTCACTGTGTTGAAACAGTTCTTCCAAGAAAAGTCAATTGCAAGATTCCACATGCTAAGTGCAACTTCCGGGTAGAGCTTCCATTCCAGAAGGGGAGGGTACTCGTTGGAAAATTGAATTTAAGCCCTTAAACAAGATTTAACTTCCAAAAGCACAAAAACCAGGTGACAGTTATTGTGTTCTTTCTTTCTGCCCTCTATTGACTTTGTTTATTATTCCGTTAGCTATACCTATGTGCTTTAAAAATACTGGAGTGTTCAATTTTCTGAAACATATCAATGTGAAGCCAAAGAGTGCGTTCCTTTCCGGCGAATCAAAACACGGATTATTGATCCTAGATTTTAATTCTAATTTCGGACCCATTGTGAATGGAACAGCGTATATCAAAATTCCGCAAATCTGAATTTCGATTCTTCGGATTTCAAATCCAACGAATCCGTTTTTAAACAAGGATTCCCCAGATCGAAAATCTGGAGCTCGATTTTGCTGAAAGGAACACGAAATCCGTTAGTTTTAAGATGGAAAGTCCGTTTTTGGATTCGCCGAAAGGAACACACCCTTCAAAATCTGCAACTAAGCGAAAAGACGAACATGCCCTGTGAAGTGCCGAATCGATCTAGGGAAGGGTACAGGGACACCGCCTAGTATTTTCTACCAAAAGGAGACCCATAGCGCCTACCCTACCCCCATTATCGCAAGGTCTTAATAAGAGTGCCCCTCTCCTTC